CCCCAGGTCGAATATGACCCATCCACCACCACCCTCTGAGTGCGACCCCTCAGCCAATCTGCAATCCATCTGACTGTGTAGGCATCGATGCCACAGTCACCTAGTTTTTTAACTAGGATGGGGTGAGAGACGGTGTCAAAGGCCTTGCTGAAGTCCAGAAAGACTACATCCACCGCAACACCTGCATCCATGGCCTTTGTGACCTGATTGTAGAAGGCAATCAGGTTGGTCTGACATGATCTCCCCCTAATAAGATTGTAAATCTAAATCAGTTTTGACCTGAAGTTCCTGTACTAGAATAAAACTTTCCAGCAGAAGCATATTCATCCACAGCTTTAGGAGTGCACCGATCCTCAGGGCTGTCCCTGAGGGGGTACATGAATTGGGGTGACTGCGCTGGGACCTGCATTGTGGGGGGCCCTGTGGTCAGTGCCGTATAGGCCCCACCCATAGGTGGCGGAAGAGGAAGGCTAACGGGGCTCAGTCCCCCCAAACACAGGGCAGCAGGTACAGCCAGAGGACAGCCCGGCTGCAGGGGGAAGGAACGCATGCGCACTTGGATACCTGCACACATGTAGCCAGGATCATAGCAGGCCCAGTTGCAGGCAGGTAAGTTCCTTTTAATCAGGCTGGGGTGAGGGACAGATCGAGAGTGAGGTAGGGACAGGGTGAATCATCCATCCCTGCCCCGCTCCCTCCTGCACCGTGGTGATTGCCAACTGGACTGGCTGGGGCCCTGTTCACAGTGAATTGGGCTCCGGCTGGTCCAGGTTGTGGGGCAGTCAGAGTCAGCATGGCATGAGGAAGTGAAGAGGGGGTACGTGGGCCCTGTCCTGATCTTTGCACAGGGCAGGGGGGCAGGCCACGGCTGGGCTCTACCTCTGCTCCCTGCTCCTGCGCCTTGCTGCCACTGCTGCGCCTTGCTGCCACTGCTGCTTTGAATGCAGATGTGGGGGGAGGGGGTGGCCTCATGGCATCAGCAGACCCTAGTCCCAAGCCTGGTGCAGCCTGGTGACTCCTCCAGAGCTGGCGTGGCACTGGGAAGGTAAAGGGGCGGGGTGGGGCATGTAAGCCCACAAACCTTGCACGCAGCAGGGGCAGGCCACAACTGGGCTCAGCCTCTGCTCCCTGTGTCTGTGCCTTGCTGCTGCAGCCCTGAACCACCAGCCCTCTCCCCTCCCCTTGCCTCTTCCTTCACAGAATCTCACACCTGGGGGTGGGTGTGAGGTGTGTGTGCGCACTCAGCCCTCCCAGTTTTTTTTTCTCTGCCTATGGCTCTACCACAGCTGCCGAGCGCCACCACTGCTGATTATCACCAGCTCTGCCATTCACTACTGCCTCCCCATCCCCTGCTCTGCCAGTGCCTCTCGCCACCCCCTGCCCCCCTGCGCCTCGTACAGGCTGATATGCCCCTGGGCCTGCACATCCCTAGGGACAGCACTGCCAGTGCATCAGTCCCATATTGGATTGGCACTGATTTAAGGAAAATTGACAGTATTGGTAATTGGCTTTTTTTTAGCTGCTGTGGCCAATAATGTTGCTGTAAAATGCTCTGTGTGTCTGTTGTGAGGGAAGGGGAATGGGGGGAGGGGCAGATCAAGGCCCCAGCAGTCAGGAAGGGAGTGGGGCTGGGGAAGGAGCAGGTGTTGCACAGCTGGGGCAGGGTGCAGGATGAAGCTGTGAGCAGCTCGTCCGGCAGGTGAGGGAAGTGGGTGGTGGTTCCTGCCACTGCATGCATCCCTGGAGAGCATGGGAGGTATGCGCCTTCAGTCTGTCCTTGTCCCATGCGCAGGTCTGCTGCTGCAGGCTGAGGCCAGAGCTGCACTGAGCTCTTCCTGGTGGCGGGGGTTGGGCTGGGCTGCGCTGAGCTGTGCTCAGGGTGGGTGGTGGCAGCACTAGGAGTGGGGGCTACGGCAAATAGCTGTAGCCTGCAGCAGCAGCCTGCCCTCGCCCCACATGCAAATCTGGGGGGTATATACCCCCCATGTCCTCCCAGGGTGTGCGTAGTGGTGGGACCTGCCCCCTTCCCCCCCCGCAGCCCCCAGATGAGCCACTTGCATCTCTGTCCCACACTCTGCCCCGGCTGTGCAGCCCCTGCCCCAGCCCCACTCCCTCCCTTACAGTGGGGGCCTTGATCAGCCCCATTCCCCTTCCCCCACAACAGACTTAACAGCTGGACACTGCTTTCTAAGCTGTCTGGCTGCATATCAGCATTCGGACTGGTATTGACCAATATGGTTTGTTAAAAATCAGCCATCGGTATCGAATAAAAAAAATCTGTCAGGACACCCCTACACAGCATTCCTGGTATAAGACTCCCTCATTTGAAACCTGTATTGAATCTGCATGGAGGGGCAGGGTGGACACATTTATGGAATCTTGTATCTAGATTCTGCATCAAAAATGGATGCTTAACTTGGGATGGCAGTTTTTCACTTTGTAGTGGGCTTTCTTGGTCCCCCTTCTCAGGGAGGTCCCTGATAGCTGATCTTCTATAACATGTTTCGGTAGAAGCATATATCTAAAGGAGAAAAGTGTCCTATGTAATTGCAGATCTTAGAATGCATGGACTTTAGAGCCCTGTAAACTCCTGGTTGTGTCTTCCTTGGGAGTCCAATCATAAGGTTTCTGATGAGAAAGGAACTCGTAGCTGCTGGTGGTGTTGAAGCCATTTGTATCCTTCACCCATAGCAGGCAAGAATTCTAGGGGCATGCACATACTTTGACCTAATGTTTAAGCAGGCATTTTTCTGTGCAGTATATAGTTTTTATGATGTGGAAGTAAACATACTGGAAAATAGGAATTGCACCTCAGGTAATGTCAGAAATAAAAAAAGGTCTTTTATAGATGGAAAGACCTGGCTAATTTCAGGCTTTTGAGTTTTTCTTTCTTCCAGGCTAGTATCTTTCATTTATAAATATACTTCCTTTGAGAGCTGACAGCTTTTACGTAACCTGAATTCAAATTTGTTAAATCACTCTTCTTCATTCTGTCTTCTTTGAGCATTTCCTTCTTCTCGCTGCCGTTCAGCCTGAAATTATCTTGGGGGGCTTGTAGCTTTTCTGGACACTTCAGTATCTATTTTGTTCAATTCACTTCCAGCCTCCTTTCTCCTTTTTGTTCCCAGGTGCTCTTGGAGTCTGCCAGGACTCCCACTAATTTAAGAAATTATTTGAAAACTGAAATGCCTTTTATTTCATTCTGTTCCTGGAAGTAGGATTCCA